TAGTAATTGATTCATGCCCCTTTCATTGTTGCCATGCAGAGGAGGACCAAAAGGATTTGGAAATAATTGGTAAGGTTTCTTACCCCCCCAAAAAAAACACCCCTTGTTTTTACCGTTAGAATGACTTCTGTTTGCTGCTTAACAAAAACAGTCATTTTTTAATCCTGCAAGCAGCCAATATTCTGTAGTATTTGTGAAGGCCTTTAATGAAGCAACAGAATTAGGAAGATATTTAAAAATAGAAGAGTCTCATAGTGGGTATACCTTACTTTTTGAAGCTAATCAGATCCAGAACTACATGCATAGACATTTTATGCCTGATCGAAAGCCCCTGATGTATATACATCTTAGCATACTATGTACATGTATTTATTATGATGAGAAGACATGAATGAGTATCAATAAAGATGAAATTAGTGGGAGATCCCCACATTAGGAATTGGTGGAATGTGGTATGAATTTGTAACTGCAAAACCTGATCAATTAAAAGACCTAAATACATGTGCGAAAATGTTCATATGTGAACTTGTACATGGGAAAATGCAAATACTGTTTCTTTTCTGTAGAGATGAAACTGTAACATTTAGCTAGTAAAAATAACAGGCTAAAAAGTGACATTGAGATAAGTTCTTATATAATAAAGCCCTGCAGAGGGTGGGCGGCTAGAAGGAAGTTGCCTTCTGTACATTCCTTTCTCCACTGCACTTGAAAAAAAGCTTTTCTAACGTAAGTAATTTGGGGAAGGTTCATCTAAGTTTAAGCTAGCTGACAAATTTGCATGGTGCATGACTAAAATCCTTCTCTATGAAGCAACATGCAGTCTGAATGTATTAAACAGATGCTGTGGCGTGTGATTCTTGTTGGAAGTAACAGCAAACTGACCTATGTATCATCAAATACTAAAGCTTCCCCGGAAGCTTGCTAAAGGTTATGTAGCCAGATCAGCTTCTGGGTGTGACAGAATGGACATGCCTTCCGGTTGTGGTGACTGAAACTCTCTATTAAATGAACGTCACTGGTAAGTCAAAATACTGGAATGAAACCTCAGCAAAAATAGGGAAAGTTAACGGATAAGCTTTTCTTGGCAATTCCTTTGAGTATTTTTAATGTTACTCAGTAGATGAAATGTTATTACTTCATAATGAGATTGAAGCCAAAGCTATGGTTTGATTTGAGGAAGAATGGTTTTTCTTCCAGTGGATGGCTGAAGCAGATGCCTAACACATAGGAAGCGTCCTGAATTTGCCTTCTGTGTATCAAGTATATGGTTTTCCAGACGTTCTGGCACAACAAAGACAAAAAATTGTATTTCTTGTTGGTACTTGAGCCCTGACAAAAGAAATCATATTTTAATATACCTTAGGAAGGGGCTCCTAGGAACAATAAATATTATAATAGCCTTGTTACACATGTGGAGCACCAATAAACTTTGGACTGCAGAAAAGGTTTGTCCTATGTCGACACCTTTCAGTAAATCTAAAAATCTTATTTCGGTTGGTGTATATACGTGTGTTAAAAATGCAAGCAGGGGTGATGCCTTCTCTACTTGGTCACTAAGCATTTGCTCACCTGTACAATCTGCTCACTAGCACCTCATTCGTGAATCCCATTCCTCCCCAGAACTGAAGACAACTATCTGTTAGTTCCCGAGCAAGACGTCCTGCCTTCAGTTTTGCCATGGATGCCAATTTGGTCACGTCATTGCCCTGTATGTAGAGAGCTATAATAAAAGCATATATAATATGTTTAGCTGCTGGTCAAGATAGCCAGTTCTAATAAATGAATGTGTATTTTCACATCCAATCATAATGTGAACAAAAAAGAAAACTGTACTGCACCCACCAACAGCTCGATACACCAAGGAACGAAGGAGCTCCAACTCGGTTGTTAATTCAGCCAGACGAAAGTGCACTGTTTGGTTATAAAGTATTGGCTGGTTGAATGTCTTACGCTGGCGAGTATAATCAATTGTTTCCTGTATCACATTTTCAAGAGGTGCAAGAACTATAGGAATCAGGGACAAAAAGAGGCAAGTGAATTTCCATCAGATCTTTAAAAAATGTTAAGAATATATGTCTCTTTGAAGAAATCACAAAAGGGATAAATACATGCAGTCCTAAAAACAGGCAGAAATGTGGGCTGGGATATGTAAACCATTCCTGAATGTGTGTTGCAGTGGCCATATGACTGCTTCAGCATGCGCTCGAGTCATGATTTTTCAACATATACACAAACCTGCAGGAAAACTTCTGAAAACTGGTTAGAGTGGCAAGGTTAGAATGGCCACAAGTCCTTAAAAAAACTAGAATAAGGGTCTGTGCTTAAAGAAGCATGTGACAGCTAATTCCTTAGGCCTGGTATGTGCTGGTATACCATAGGATTCCTACTCAGCACTTGACTGTCAGCTGATGTGTGAACGATCTCCCATGAAAAGCATCAGTAGGATGTGTTAAGAAGCAAAATTAGTTCCCTCTGGTCCTCCTTTATCTTTTATGGCATATTAAGGGAAGAACAGGCAGGTGTAAGCAAGTCTTATAGGTACATAAGCATAATCCAAATTCCAGCCCACTGTCAGGTTATGTGAATGGATGTGCATTTCTCCATGTTCATTGCTTCAGCTAGCATTTATAGTACTTTTACAAATATGTTTCACACACATTGAGAAAATAATGGAATTAGAATTAGGCATCTAATAGACCTCTGAACAATAACTTACACACATTCCTTTTCTGGTCATCCCTTTCTTCTGTACATTCCAAACCTTCCACCTGGAATTATTAATCTTTTTGTCTCTTGTCTGCCTCAGTGTCTAATATGAGCTCCATGGACCATGTAAATCTCCATTACATTTAAATGTCAGACATGGCCTGAGAGACAGTTCTAAATTATTGTCCCAATGATTTCAATAGGAATTCACTTATGTAGATTCCAGAGGCACAGCCATGTGAGCCAAAACAGCAAAGAGTCTTGTGGTACCCAAACATCTAATTAAATTATTGTGGGAGAAGCGTTCTTTGTGCAAGAGCCCATTTTGCCTGAGGCATGGAGCATTGGCCAGATGAAATGAGTTCTGGACAATGAGAGCTTTTACCACAAAAAATTCATGAGCCTATGAGGGGAACAGAAGACTCTATGATATGTGTATTAGGACCCAACGCAGTGCTAATGTTTTTTTGCCGGAAATTCTGGCATAACGTCATTACAACATATATGGCACATCCCCATCATCAGTACATATTTGCTGATGCAGTAGGCCTTGGTTTGAAGCATCATTAGTTCAATATGCCATCTATTTCTTGTTACTGCCTTTAACAACGTCATTAGAAGCAAAATGGGAAGTAGCCGGCTACCCTGCATCATGATAAATGCTTCCCCCCCCCAGTGGCAGAAGTTCTGTCCCTCCCCCCCTCCCTCCAGCAGGGCTTCTAGGGCAAACAGGCAGGATTCAGTCCTCCTATGTGTAGGTCCTGAACCTTATTTGAATGGGATTCCTCCTTTCCCCTTCCACTGATTCCTCTACTGGAATTAAAGGATGTGTACTGCTCACCTTGGCACTGGCATGGATTCTTATGACTCCTGACTTTTGCCCAGGTACAACAGAAATTTTAAAGGAAGGCACTTTCCACTCAACTGGAAAATTCCATCAACCAGTGTATACAGTTGACCCTTGAGGAAATGGCAGGAGTGCCATAAGAGAATCCTGCCTAGACTGTGTGAGCCTAAGGAAGCTGGCTAAAGAAAGATCCTGACTCAGATCATAACGTGGGTGGATCTGGATACAGTCAACAAAGCAGTGCACAGCTGGAGACCGCACTGCCCCCTCGGCCAGGCAAACATGCGGAGGAAAGATTCAGGTAGTGGAGCCATTGGAGGGCCTTGAATAGAGGTAAGGGCCAAATCATGACTCCCCTCGAGTTAAGCCACAACCATCATAAAAGGCAGGAGGGCCAGGCATCCCCCCCGACACAGCTGTAATTCAAGCACATATGTGCAGAAGGAAGGCATACACAAATCGAACGTTGACACAAGAAGATGGTACAGTCTTAGGGAAATCATATGTATTGGAACACCAGTGGGACTCTGGATCATGACCAAACACAGCATTATTATTATTACCCCATATTTCCCTATAAATGAACAAAATTCTAGTCACCATTACACTGTAATGGACTTAAAAATCTATCAATAATGACAGCTATTAAAAAAAAATCTGGTTGACTTTCACCATTATTCTTTAGGACTCCATTAGTCCCGAAACAGTTGGAAAAGATCTTTTGTTGAGATATAATTTTTATGTCACATGAATTTTCAGAACAATCAGTATTTAAGACAAATGGGTCTTGGTGTCCTTTTGCTTCCAAGGAGGATTCTGTGAACCTTTGACATGTCTGTGATTTTCCACACCCTGCTGCCTCCACACAGCAGATCAGCTGCTAAACATATTTCTTCTAGGCACTTATTTGAAAATGTCCTCAGCCTTTTTCTGTGCTATTTTATAGCTCACTTCATAATTTCTACTTTACCTTCTGAAGGACCCTTCTACTAGATCTTTAAAGGGCAAACAGCTATTCGAATAAGTGGAACAATTCCTCGTTCTTGCACCTTTCACCCTTTAGTCAGCAGAGAAACAGTTGAGCTTTAAGCTTAAATTAACAACACTCTTATTAGACTGCAGAGGTAGAAAGCATGTACTATTTTATTATACTAATTATAAGAATATATCATAAGTGATTGCTGAAATAAAACTGTAAAACTGGCATTTTCCAGTAGGGATGTTTATACTTATATTTTCTCTCTCTCCCTCTCTCTCTCTTCCCCCCCCTCTCCCTCCCTCTCTCCCTCCCTCTCTCACTGTGTGTGTGTGTGTGTGTTCATATGTACAATGTATGAAGGGAAGGTGGCATAGTCTAGCCCAATCTTGTCAGATTTCAGAAGCTAAGCAGGGTCAGCCCTTGTTAGTACTTGGATAGGAAGACTCCAAGGATGACTGCAGAGGGAGGCCGTGGCAAACCACCCCTGCTTCTCAATTGCCTTGGAAGCCCCTTGCTGGGGTCATCATAAGTCAGCTGCAGCCTTGGAAGCCTACACACACACACACACACACACACAGACAGCATGAAGATTCCATGGAAGGGATGGTAACATCAAAGGTGTCACTAAAGTGTAGTAAAAAACTAATTGATAGAAGGCAAAGTTTGATTTTATGAGATATGAAACCATAACAGGATAAGATTAAGTGAAAGAAAACTGTACCCTTTAAATATGCAGGCAAAATATCCAACTATTTTTATTACTGGCAAGTTCAGAAAGCCTCCTGGAAAACACATGTCTGCTCTGTTCAGTTAATATTGCAATCTTGTTTTTGTTCCACCTGTGATTTCCATGTGTTAATCAATTCAACTGTGTGTCTTTTGCACATATCTCAGAAACATACAAGGGAGGAAAACACAGGCTGTCTACACAGACAAGGGGTTGGTATTCAGCAAGCAACTGGTTTTTAAAATTACCAGCATGATGATATGGCTGTACTGTACCCAAATCAATTTTGAAAATCGTTATGTAAGAGGCAGGCTTGTATTACTGTCAAAGATGCAACTAAAGACTTACTGTTGGCAGCAGCCCACAGACGCTCCTCTTGGAATTGCAACATCTGGTATGTAAAACCCATTCCTTCCTCCCCAATGAGGTATTTACTGGGAACTCTGACATCCTCAAAAAATATCTGTGCCGTGTCTGATGACCTCATGCCAATCTTCTCTATTTTCTTAGCAACATGAACACCTAAGAATAAATGTTCATCAAGAATGTTACCAGAAACAAATAGTAGTCTCAACTGGAAGTGTGTTTTCTTCAAAATAACTGTAATGGACTCCTTTCTATGTTTAGCATAATAATACGTTAAGTTTAAGGATGTGTGCAAATGTCTTAAAATTTCCAGGATAAGGTTAATGTTTCCATTTCCATCTAATTTATAAAAATGTCCCTGTCATTGTTAATTAGCAAATTAAAACTCTCAAGACTACATAAGGTCTTGCTTTTCATAGTCTTGAAAAATTAATCATTTCTTACTTAAAGTAAAATGACTTTTAAAAGTTGCAAATGTCAAACCAATCAGGGTTGCGTGTAACTACTGAATGGCAAAACACGTTTCTTAATAAACAATAATGCAATAAAGACATTAAAGGATTTTTAAAAATTACCCTGAAGCATTTCAACCTTTCAGCCTCTCATTCAAACATCTGAATATCTGAAATTCAAATATCTGAAGTGCAAAAATACCCTTTATTGATTCCAAGAATATGATTCTAATGGCAATCAATCACAATTAACTCCAATGAGTCAATATTCAAGGGTGAAGACAGGCAGACATCTAGAAGAGTCTCACATTGCATAAAGTTACCCAGAGCTATCTTTCTAATATACACTTATTTGTAGCATATCAGGAAACTAAATGTTGACATGCTACCACCAGGTTCCCCCACTGGCTAGCCACTGTATCCCTCCCACTATCACTTGCTCCTCCTCCTCCTGCTGGTCCCTTATTTATTTATTTTCATTTACAGTCCACCTTTCTCACTGGGACTCACAGGACATTACAAATATGATAGAACTATTAGTTAATGAGTGAGCTGATTACTAAATATAACAGTTGAATGATAAAAGCAAAGATTCCTAGTAAAACAGACCTATTCAGTCAATCAGCAAGTGTATAGCAAAATATGATAACTTTTGAGTCTAACAGCAAAAATACTTAATAGAACAACACAATGCAGTGGGCATGGGAATGGAGAACTGGAAAGGTCACTAGGTGGTTATCATTATTATGGTGTTGACAGATCTAATAGCCATTTGTAAAGCCATCTGCTGTATAAATGACATAATCTTTTTAATGTCATTAAAATTAAATTTATATAAAATGTCATATCCAGTGTTTCTCTCCAATGGGGACTCAAAGCTGCTTTGTTCTCCTGCCCTCCATTTTATGCATACAACAACTCTGTGAGGTAGGTCTGGTAGAGGCAGGTTGAGGATCTGATTATTAGAGACACATGACAGGTTGCTTAAGAGCTCTCTTATTACATATTGCCCATTGTGAAGATAACCAGGTTCAGGGTGTTCCGGTTCCCTTAGTTTTTGGCTCTGCAGCTTCCATCATCATTCTGGGGTTGGTGGTCAGTTTTCAAACATGTAGCATTATTTTCTGATGAGTTGTGCCCACCACAAACAGAGACACTTCCATTGCAAATAACATGGCATTGTGTATGTCTCTCAGCTGGGCCAGAATATCCCCATGACTTTCAATTTCGGCTCTGGAATTCCCACTATCATCCTGAAGCTGATGGCCAACTTTGAGTTTCCTAGCTTTATTCTCTGATGAGTTATGCCTGCCATAAACAGACAGACCTATTACTATAGATTCGTGGTACAACCTCCCAAGTGATTGGTTTGATTTGGATCAGGGTCATGGGGGGCAGGTGGAATCTATGATGGATCTTGGCAGCTCAGCCATCTGCCCAAGCGAGGAGGCTCTCTCAGGAACTTGAATGTCGGAGGCTCTCTTTCTCACTAGGAGAAATCAGGTGAGCAAGCTGGGAAAGAAAGCACTCCTCAAGAAATAAAAGTACCTTTTCTTACTTGTTTGTCTGTCCCCTCACTACTGTTGCTATCTCCTCCACCTACACACACACACCCAGTGTCCAAGACAGAAACTCTAAGTAGTCACAGTAAATGAACTCAGCTTTTAGGATATCATAAACAGAGCTATTGGCAGAAAGCAATTTTTTTAAAAAAGCCACATTTTTTAAAAAAAATAATAATAATTATGACCACAAAACACTGCACAAACTTTTGCATTTTCATCAGGCTGGATCCTAAAAGGAAAGGGGGGGCACAGATATCTTAGGCTATGATCTTTAGACTGTCTCGCCAGCATCTGTGTAAAATACTTGGCCATCTGGGAATATGGTGACATCGCTTTGTAACTAGAAAAACCAGAAACGGATCAAATATCTCTCTAAAGCCAAACAGGACATACAGATACCTTAAAAGGCTGAGAGCAGAGGGAAAACATGGTAGTCCTTTATTAACAACTAGGAAGAAGGCCTGTTGCAGCTGTAAATGCAATGGTCACTAGATTGGCCATGCGGCCGTGGTCCTCGTCTCTCCCACCCGCCGCTGGTGTCCCCTGCCTGCAAGGAACCCGGCTCTGAGAGGGAAGGGGAGGGGGTGTAAGCCGCCTCTCCTCCCACGGGCTTGCTCAGCTTCCCCAAGACCGTGGGGAAGGTGAGGAAGCTGGCTCTGAGAGGTAAGGGGAGGGGGGGTAAACCGCCTCTCCTCCCACAGGCTAGCTCGACTTTCCCACGGGCATCTCCCCCCTCCCCGAGTTCAGTGGGGGGCAGCGCTGGCCCAGTGAGGTTGGGGCCAGCACAGGGAACAGCAGCGGTGTTTGAACCCACCTGCCCCATAGGGCCCGCGTCCTCCCTGGGCCAGGGCGCGGTGGCCCAGGGAAGTGCAGCATGGCTGTCTCCTCTCATCACTGATCTCTGTGGGGGCACGCCGGGAGGCCAGGGACAGCAGGGGTGCAGGGAATGCCACCAGAGGCCAAAACTCCCCCCCAAACAGGGCCTGCGGCTCCCCTGGTCCAGGCCGCGGCGGGGCAGGGAAGTGCCACGTGGCTCCCTGCAGTCCCCGCCTGCTCACAGGCTAGCCAGGGACGTGAATGGTGGTTGAGGGGGGAAAGGTGGGTTGGGGCGGCTGGAGGCGTCTGTGCGGCCGGGCACGGTGGCAGGTGAGCGGGGGCCTGAGTAGGCTTCCCCCCCGCCCGCCGCAGTGGTTGATGGGGAAAGGTGGGTTGGGGGCGGCTGGAGGCCTCTGCGCAGGTGGGCACGGTGGTGAGCGGGGGCCTGAGTAGGTTTGCCTAGCCGTCCGGGGGGGAGGCGACCGAGCAAAGGGCCGGCTGTCCAATTCGCCCGGCCTCGTCCGTCTTCCCATCGCCCGCTCGCCGTCAGTTACAGCCATACGCGGGCCAAAGCGGCTAGCCTTGTTTCTCCCCCCCAGCCAATGGCACACCAGTAGCCTTGAGCAGCAGCTGGCGGGCCAATGGCTGAGGGAGCACATTGAGTAGGTTTGCCTAGCCGTCCGGGGGGGAGGCGACCGAGCAAAGGGCCGGCTGTCCAATTCGCCCGGCCTCGTCCGTCTTCCCATCGCCCGCTCGCCGTCAGTTACAGCCATACGCGGGCCAAAGCGGCTAGCCTTGTTTCTCCCCCCCCCAGCCAATGGCATGCCAGTAGCCTTGAGCAGCAGCTGGCGGGCCAATGGCTGAGGGAGCACATTTATTCTCCACCCCATAAGACAGTGGCCACCCCAAATCCCTTTTATTATAAGGAGAGATATCAGAGAGAAGGTTTTTTTGGAGGTAAAAAGTCAATAGTAGCTAGGGTTGCCAGCTCTGGGTTGAGAAATTCCTGGAGATTTGGAGGTTGGAGTCTGGGGAGGGCAGGGCTTGAGGTGGGACTTCAGTGAGATATAATGCCATACAGTCCCCCTTCCAAAGCAGCCATTTTCTCCACAGAAACTAGAGATTATCTTCAGCCCCAAAGCAATCCTAATGGTAGCCAAATTACCGTAGGTAGCAACCCCTTTCTACTTTGACCAACACCTGAATGCAGCTGATAGAGGCAATTCAGCGGGAGAATAATGATCATGGGAAGATGCTGGGTTTAGAGATTTTCTCTCAACAAAACGTTTTCTATTACACAGATGCCGGAAAGGCAAGGCATTAACATCTCGGCTTAAGATATGTTTTTCTCTTCCCTCCCCTTTGTTTTTGTTTCTTAACACCCTGTGTAATAAAGAATTCTAGAGAAAACAAAAGCTCGCAGACTGTTTTGTGTCATTTCATTTTGTCCTAATAAAAGAAATTACACTTCTTTTTCTTGATCCCGAAGTTTCTGAAGCCATCTTGTTTAGAACTCCAAATCAGTGTGCCATTCTTAGGAAAGCAAAAAATACAGACAGCAGTACTCAAATGAGTTGAATACAACAAGCTCCATACACCTATGGAGATTTGTCCATGGATAAGGAAGAAAGAAGTCAGGATTACTGACAGTTTCTTAAGGAAATACTGGTCACAATCCTGCATCCACTTTTGGGCAGCTTTGCTGTGGTGAAGTCAAAGGCTTAGGACCTAATTAAACAAGAGATTGTGGAAGAGCTGTGATCAGACCTCCCACCAATTTGTTAAAACTAAAGTATGGCTGTGCATAGGGGTAGAGGATTTAAACTGTTCACCTTTGCAGTTTTGCCAGTTGAAATTAATTCCTTTGTACTGTTAGCAGAACTAAAAATAAAGACAGATATGTGGGGATGGGGAGTTGCTGAAGATGGGGGGGGGATTAACCCTTGCGAACTCACATACTTTTGCCAGTCAATCTTGGGGGGCCATTCAACTGTTCTTGCCCATTAAAAATGCTGTAAAGTTCTGATCATGTTATCTCTCAGTATCTAGGTATAGTTAGTCTACTGTAAAGGTAAAGGTAAAGGTTCCCTTGCTCGAAAGCCAGTCGAATCCGACTCTAGGGTTGCGGTGCTCATCTCCGTTTCAAAGCCGAAGAGCCAGCGCTGTCCGAAGATATTTCCGTGGTCATGTGGCCAGCATGACTAAACACCAAGGCGCATGGAAAGCTGTTACCTTCCCACCGAAGTAGTACCTATTTATCTACTTGCAATTTCTTGCTTTCGAACTGCTAGGTTGGCAGCATCTACTGTACATAGCTTTCAAACTGCTAGGTTGGCAGGATCTATTGTACATGAATGCTAATGGGTATGCTATTGCAGGATAATGACAGAAGGAATCATAAGACACACCAGTGAAGGAGCATGAGAAGGGCACTAACCTGTTTCCTAATGGCAGAGAAGCCCTGACTAATGGAACAAAATAATATTACTGCTGACCCACATACAGCAAGTTAAAAAAAATAAGTAAATGTTTCTGAAATGACAGTCAGGGAAAGGACAGATATTTCACGAGTTAGATTCAGCTGGCTAGCCGTGTTGGTCTGAAAAAGTTTGGGTCCAGTGGCACCTTTAAGACAACAAAGTTTAATTCTGGGTATAAGCTTTTGTGTGCCAATGGACTCAAACTTTGTTCTATTTCACAAGGCACTTATAAAAGATACCATAACAGCAATGGATTTGCCATCTGGGGAAAAACCTCATTTTCCCAGGCACAAAATATGCTGAGAAACATATACTTGTGCTGTGGACATCAGATGGACAAAGACTGTACACTTACTGTACTAGAAACTATGTAGAAAAATCTTCAGAGACTGTGGAACCTCTATCAATGCAAATTTTAAATTGAGTATCACCCATGTTGTTTGTCCATGGATGATTGAATAAAGAAAATCGGGGGAACTTTCCATCATGTCTAAGACAACACAGGCAATGGAGAGGTGACAGAAGGTTCAGATGCTACATCTGGCTTACCAAGAATCCCACCCCCACTCTCTGTTCCCACAGTCCCAGCCACCTTATGGGCCCTCTACATGATGACTCCCTTCTGAGCAAGAGGTTCCAAGAACAAAGGGGCTTATGCATCAGGATGACTGAATCGCCCTGGTTCTGTCCATCATAATTTATCTGCACAGAGGGATTCTGTTCCTTTGACCTTCTCAGTCAGGAGGGGGATTTTTGTGTGAAAATACGTAGCTGAATATGTATTACAGTACACATTTTTCTTTCCTCTTCAATGTGATATTTTGGCTTCATTAACACAGAAGTAATATATTGTTCCCTGAGACTGTATGTGAGTGTAGGCTTGTTTGGACTGGGGACCTGTCTGCAGCCCTCAACAGCATCAACCGCGATATCCTTCTGGACAGCTTAGTCAGTGTCGGAACACAGTGAAGGACTGGATGAGGGTGAACAAATTGAAATTTAATTCTCTCTCTCTCTCTCTCTCTCTCTCTCTCTCTCACACACACACACACACACACACACACACACACACACACAAAGTGTGGTGTTTCAGGAAGAATGCCTATTTCCAGAACAGGTTTTCAGACAGTTCTGAATGGGATTACACTACCTGAAGGACCAAGCTTGCATCTGGTACTTTCAGATGTCTCATTGTCACCGGTTAAACAAATAGCTAGGGATGGTCTAGCTCAATTTCGTCAGACCTTGAAAACTAAGCAGGGTCAGTATTGGATGGGAAACCACCAAGGCAGGTTCTGCAGGAGGAGTCAACAACAAACCACCTCTGCTCACTTGCCTTGAAGCCCCTTGACTAGAGTATGCATAAGCTGGTTGCAATTTGACAGCACTGAGGTTATCTTTTAAAGGGGTTAGACTGGTACACTGCTGGGGCCGTTCCTGGGAAAAGCAAATTTTGCCCCAGTCACATATGCTTCAGTAACATTTTGATTAGATTACTGTAAACCTCTTTACATGGGACTAGCCTTGAAGATTGTTTGGAAAATTCAATTGGTACAAAGCACCATAGCAAGCTGTGCTGACTGATGTTCACCAGAGTGAGCATACAAAGCCAGTGATATACTACTGGTTACAATTTTGTTTATGAACTCAGTTCAAGGTAGTGATATTGACTTTTAAACCACTGAACAGCTTGGATCCAAAGTACTTGAAGGACTCTCTCCACCTTCATCAGCATGCACAAATTCCAATAACTATCAAATGTGCACTCCTGCAAGAACCAGCCTCATCTGAGATGAGCTGGGTCAGAGGGCATTTTAGATGCTTCCTCTAAATTCCAGAGCTAACTCCCTTAGGAGGTGTGAGTTGTACCATCCCTACAGGCAATTTGGAACAGAATGAAAACTTTTTTATTCCAGAAAGCCTTTGAAATATACTGACGACAGAACCTGCTGATTATTCTTTGCCTATTTTTTATGTAACAGCTGTAGAACAGCTGTAATGGTGGGGCTTTCGACTGAATTTCATCATTTGTATTTTTGAATTAGATTTTTTAAATGTTAGCTACCTTGGGGGAATGCTAAGGCTGAAAGATATAAGTAAACAGCTGCAATACATGAATCACCAGCTTCTGAGATCAACCGCTTCTTCCCAGAATGCACAAACAGGCATCTCTGCACTCTGACATCACATCAAAAGATATGTAAATAAATATGTAAACAAATGTATATTAAATAATCATTTCATAGCTGGGGAAATGAGGGAAACAAAAAAAGTGCTGACAGATCCGGTGTGATGCATCATACTAGTCAAAATCTCTATCAAACAAAATTTGGCAGAGAATTTTTGTGGTACAGAATTTTGTAAGCATCTTTAGTTATGTATTTCTAGGGGGGACCTTTGCAAGTCAAATTTAACTGGCAAGCTTTATACTTCCCACCCAACACCCAAGCAATTTCCACAGTCTCTGCTTCATCCTTTGTTGTTGTTGTTGTTCAGTCGCACAGTCGAGTCCGACTCTTCGCACCAGGCCCTCCTGTTTTCCGCCGTCCTCTGAAGTTGGCTCAACTTCATGTTCGTTGCATCGATGACACTGTCTAACCATCTCATCCTTTGCCGTCCCCGTCTTCTTTGACCTTCAATCTTTCCCAGCATCAGGGTCTTCTCCAGTGAGTGCTCCCTTCTCATTTGGTGGCCAAAGTATTTGAGCTTCAGTTTCATTATCTGGCCTTCCAGGGAACAGTCAGGGTTGATTTCTTTGAGGATTGACTGATTTGTTCTTCTTGCAGTCCAAGGGACTCTCAAGAGTCTTCTCCAGCACCATAGTTCAAAAGAATCTATTCTTCGGCGCTCGGCCTTCCTTATAGTCCAGCTCTCGCAGCCATACATGACTACTGGGAATACCATTGCTTTGACCATGCGGACTTTTGTTGGCAGGGTGATGTCTCTACTTTTTATCATGCTGTTTAGGTTCGCCATCGCTTTCCTCCCAAGGAGCAGGCGTCTTTTAATTTCATGGCTGCAGTCACAGTCTGCGGTGATCTGGGATCCCAGGAACGTGAAGTCTGTCACTACTTCCACAGCTTCCCCTTCTATTTGCCAAGGAGTGATGGGGCCGGATGCCATGATCTTAGTTTTTTTGATGTTGAGCTTCAAGCCCACTTTTGCGCTCTCCTCTTTTACCCTGAGCAAGAGGCTCTTGAGGTCCTCTTCACTTTCTGCCGTTAGAGTGGTATCGTCTGCATATCTGAGGTTGTTGATCTTTTCCCCAGCAATCTTAATTCCCGCTTGTGATTCATCCAGGCCAGCATTTCGCATGATGTACTCTGCATATATATTAAATAAGCAAGGTGACAGTATACATCCTTGTCGTACTCCTTTTCCTATGCTGAACCAATCAGTTGTTCCATATCCGGTTCTAACTGTTGCTTCTTGGCCCTTATACAGGTTTCTCAAGAGACATGTGAGGTGGTCTGGTACTCCCATCTCTTTAAGGACCTGCCATAGTTTGTTGTGATCCACACAGTCAAAGGCTTTAGCATAGTCAATGAAGCAGAAGTAGATATTTTTCTGGTACTCTCTTGCTTTCTCCATAATCCAGCGAATGTTGGCAATTTGATCTCTAGTTCCTCTACCTCTTCGAAACCCAGCTTGTACTTCTGGTAGTTCTCTATCCACGTACTGTTGAAGTCTAGCTTGTAGGATCTTGAGCATGACCTTGCTAGCGTGTGATATGAGTGCAATTGTGCGATAGTTTGAACATTCCTTGACATTGCCCTTCTTTGGGATTGGAATGCTTAATCCTGATCTTCTGAAACTAATCCTGGGTTGAACTGTATTTTGGAAATATACAACACTGTTAGTTTCATTAGGTTTCCAGGTTTTATATGAAGATAAAAACATCACGTACTTTGCAAGACCTCTCAGTGTATATTTCAAAAGAAACAAACTGGCTTTGGTGGACACCTTCCAAGACTAAGACATCCTAGATTAATTGTGCTATTGTTCAGTTTTATTTGGCTGTTTCAAATGATGTTTTTACAAGTATTCATTTTTATCTTTGGCTGTTCCTTAATTCATCTGTTCTCACATTGGGTTACAAACTGAAAGATCAAAGAGATATCTTCTGGAAATAATTTTTAAATCCACCAAGTCCAAAGGTGGTCTGTAAAACATTTAGTTTCCTTTTTTGTTCCTCTCTATCTCTTATGTCTCCTCATTATTTCCCAGGCCTATTTGTTTGGTTACTTAAAGAGAACATTGTTTCAAGATGAATCTATCATCATTGGAAAAATTAGGAAGTACTTGCTATGTGTTTTAATTTTTAAAAAATATAGTTTTGTAAGGGAACCACATGTGAAAGGGGAGAGGAGAATCTATGCAAAAGAAACATTCCGCCTCATTTAGATTCAAGTCCAGTAGCACCTCAGAGACCAACAAGATTTTCAGGGTGTTCTGCCTCACGTCAAAGAGTGTTTCCAAGTTCTGGATGTTTTAGTACTGTGAAACACTTACAATATCTACCACCACAAGCATTTTTGTTTTTGTGAGAGTGTTTCTATCACAAGATAAATTGCAATTTGGCTTGGGGTAGAAATATACTCCACGTGCAATATGTGTACATATTCTTTACAGGGCTGTTTTAATAGAGCATTAAAAAAAACCACTCGCTTTGTTACCTGGTAGCTTCACCTATCTATACCTTGTGGCTAATAGCCACTGATGGACCTCTGCTCCATATGCTTATCTAATTCCCTTTTGAAGCCGTCCATGCTTGTAGCCGCCACCACCTCCTGTGGCAGTGAATTCCATGTGTTAATCACTCTTTGGGTGAAGAAGTACTTCCTTTTATCCGTTCTAACCCGACCGCTCAGCAATTTCATTGAGTGCCCACGAGTTCTTATATTGTGAGAAAGGGAGAAAAGTACCTCTTTCCTTACCTGCTCTATCCCATGCATAATCTTATAAACCTCTTACAATACTGTGAAACACTTACAATATCTACCGCCACAAGCATTTTTGTTTTTGTGAGAGTATTTCTATCTGACACTACAGGTCAGTATTGCAGAGGTCACTCAGTTCAGCAGTGTGAACAATGGGCATTAGCTTACCCACTGCAGAAAAACTCAGTTGAGGAACTGACACCAACTACCACTGCTGATAAAAGATCTAAACCAACTGGCCCCTGGCCAAGTGACTGGTTCCTAGCCACCACTAGCCCCTGTAGGCAGAGGCCAATCCAGAAATTTCCTGTAAGTTAAATGGCCAATCCACCTAGGGTTGCCAAGTCTCGTCAACGTGCCAGTGGGGGATGGGAGGGAGCCTTCCGGGAGTGGGGCGGGGCTCCACAGTATCACACGGAAGTGACTCATTATGTCAAGGACGTCATGCAGTGACACTCTGGTTTGAGGGCAAAACTCTATGGTAAAATTGCTCTCAAACCATAGAGTTTTGCCCCAAAACCAAAGAATCGCCACACAATGCCCTGACATGGTGATGTCACTTCTGGGTGATGTCATCACATTGGGGACATTGCCTGGCAACATCGCTGTTTGGGGGTGGGGTTCCCCTGCCAGCCAAACCTGGGGAATTCCCCATCTGGATCTGGGGAATGGCAACCTTAAATCCACCTCACTTGAGTATACAGGTTTGGGGCTTGTACCCACAGACTCTTCTGTGCTTAATTGCATATGTCTGCCCCAACTGTGAGGGACAAAAGGCTTTCCCGCCCCTGAAGGGAAAAACAGCCACTTACTCCAACATCCAATCCCCTTTGCAAAGAGGGATGCAATGTTGGAATGAAACACAGTGAGAGTTCAGTTCTGCATCAGGGATAGAGCAGCAAGAGCTCTGGTCTGGCTCAGGAAAAGAGGAGACAGAGTGAAGGGTAGCTTTGCTTGGTAGTGTGGCAGAATGGTTTAGCTCTACTTCTGATGGAGAATAGAGTACCCAGTTGTTAGGCCCATCTCTGGCAATGAGCAGGCTTTGTGCCATTTAGTCTGACTCTTGAAAGAGGGCAGGCTGGTGTGGGTGGAATCCTGTGTGTTTGTTAGATCCAGCGTAGTGGCTGATTGGTAAAAGCCTGTTTATGCTTGGGAGCATTAAAGAAAATTGAAACTACTCTCTAAATTGATGTGCCTCAGCCAGGTTTCTCTTTTGTCTATCTGGAGACCTATGCTGCTGATCTATTCCTGGAAACCAACCTGTAAATAAAGAAATCTTCTTTGTGGTTATTATACAATCCCTGCCTCAGTGACGTCCATATTCTATTTGTGCACCACAAAACTCTCCTCACACCAGTGAACCCAAAACCTAGACACTCGCAAACTTTAGAACACCTAGCATGTGAGGGGGAGGTTTATAGTTTAAAATTAACCAGGTCCCCCCAAAATTATAGGAGGCTGTGTGGGTCACTTCAGTTGATAGAAACAGCTTGTCACACCAGCTTTCTAGGGTCCTTTCAATCCCAACTCCATTAATGCATATAGAAACTAAAAATACACGGCTTCATCTTTTTCTTTAGTTGGCCGTCCCACATTAGGGCCTAGAAGACACTGCCAGAAAGACTCAAGTCAGGATAACACCCAACTTACCTCCAGTTCATACTAAAGTACTACACAAATAGGGATACAACTATTAAAGGTTCACAAATCTGCTCTGTTGCCAGAAGGATTCAAAGACAAATGAGATATCTGGAAAAAGTCTAACACATATACATTTTAAGATGGCTAACTTATGCTTGTGAGTGAAATAGGAAATGAAGCAATCTCTTATTCCATGCAGATGTATTATTCACTTTTTAACAGACAATGCACAACAACTGAGCACTGGACATTATTTGCATTGTAATAGCAAGCGAACATATTTTGTAAGCTATATAATGACAGCATACAACAGGGCTATTTTTGGGCAGGAACGCACAGGAACGGAGTTCCAGCTGGCTCCTGAGTTGGCCACACCCAGCAGGAACTCATTAGCATAATAGGCCACACCCAACAGCAGAAACTCATTAGGACTGGCTACATTAGGGGTGTGTGGCCTAACATGCAAAGGAGTTCCTGCTACAAAAAAAGCCCTAAACAGAATAAGAAGCAAAAGGTGAGTGTGTCTGGATGACCACATTTCTGCGAATATGGGGTGTGTGGCCTAATATGCTAATGAGCTGTGCTGTCAGGGGTGTGTCCTAATAAGCAAATGAATTTCTGCGGTTGGGTGTGGCCTATTATGCTAATGAGTTCCTGCTGGGCTTTTTCTTCAAAAAAAGCCCTGGCATACAATATGTTCAAATCCAACAAATTAAGGCTATGTGATCCACACCTCTCTTGCACAGTGCTCACACTACCCTTTGCTGTACAAACTGTCATCTAAGATAAACCTTAAGTCTTCCTGAGCTTGGGATACCACTTGGCCCAGTTTCTCCATAGCAGCTACAGATATAACTGGTCAGAATGGTTGCAAGAGCACCCAGCCAAGAGCTGTGAGCTTGTAGCACTATTTCTCTACCAACCAAATGTGAGCCAACTGATGACAGGCCATACAGAACCCTAACTCCCAGGTATGCCTAGAAATGGCTGCCTGAGCAGGGGGTCTTGCTCCTATGTAGGTAAGTGTCTATCTTAACACAAAAGAGGCCCATTCTGATGGAAGTATTATGCTGGAACCCTAACTTTTGTTTTTCTTCCTCATTTTTCTTACTCAAGGAATTTAAAAATGGCAATAGTGGAAGAACTAAAGGGAACTTATTAGTGGCATTTTGGCTAGCAAGCTCAGTCTCCATGCTTTTCACTGACACTTGCATAGCACTCCTCCTCTGTCCAGTACTAGAATCAATGGAAGACACACTGCAGTAGTTCTAGGGTTTGCAGGGCAAGTCTACAGTGACTTATATTTGGTGTCCTAAGCATATTCCAGGCACTTACCAGCAACATCTGAGCCTGCCTCAGGTTCACTGACCCCTAAACAAGCCACCACATCTCCTGCAATAGTTGGGGCGAGAAACTGTTGTTTCAGCTCATCAGATCCAAATCTGCAATGTAAAATATTCAGATTATTTTATTTGCTAATTTTTAAAAGATTTATGAACAGATTTGATAGCATCCTTCTCATACAGAAAAAGGTTTTATCTGTATGGGTCTTTTTCAAAATACAAATGCAATGTGTCTTACGAAGGAGGAGGAGGAGGATTTATACCCCATCCTTTCCTCAGAGTCTCAGAGCAGCTTACAATCTCCTTCCCTTTCTCTCCCTACGACAGACACCCTGTGAGGTAGGTCGGACTGAGAGAGCTCTGAAGAACTGCTGAGAGAGCTCTGAGAGAAAAAAACAGCTGGCTGCATGTGGAGAAGTGGGGAACCAAACCCGGTCCTCCAGTTTAGAGACCACCGCTCTTAACCACTACACCAAACTTGATAAAACTACTACTTCGAATTAAAAAGAAGCATAAGAAATCATAACATTCACAATCTGATCACAAAGAATGTCAGTCAAGGGCTTTATTTGCAGCTCAAGCTTAGTTTATTCTTGGGTTCATGCACTCTTGTCCTGCCTTGTGCATAACATTTTTAATTTTTTTTTGGTTTAGGAAGTTTTCCAACTGACCACAATTCATTACTATGTCCGAATTTGGGTGCTTTAAAAAACTGGGGTTTGTTTCTTATCCACAAGCAAGAAACAATCCCAATTTGTTAAAGCAACCAGATTTGTAAATCACAAAAAACTGGTTACATTGAGGACTTCCCAAACTAGAAAAACTTCCATTTTGGTTCTGAGTATGAAAAGAGTGTGTGAGCCAATGGATTTCAGGCTTTTTAACATCATGAACAAATTGAGATTTGTTTGTGCTATCTGACTGCAGACAAAGGCAGCCATTTGCCATTGTTTACAAGACAACTGACCTATAAGTAAAATGCAGCCCTTCACCCACAGACTGCAGCTTGCCAAATACCTGAAAAATCTCCTGGTTTTGAAGTCCCACACAGGCAGCAAAAATAGTTTTATTGAGCCCATAATGGTGGCTGGTGGGCTGTGTTCAGTTTGATGAGCCACAAGCTCCACAGGCCTGTTCTAAATTTCTTTTATTTATTTGTTTATTTTTATTTTATTTTATTAAGAAAAACAGTTTACAAGAACAATACAAACTAAAATACAGAATACATAAAACCAACTTGGAGGAGAATATTTAGCAGTTGTAACATTAATAAAATGAACTAAAACCAGTTGTACTACTTCATACACAATTTTGCTATAATTGCATAATTTTTGAAGAGTGAAAGTCACATATTAACTAAACTACTAAAAATGATGATTGATCTAGAAAAAGGTAAATTGAACTCTGCCAATATATATGAGAAGGACTATGAATGTTGATGATAGACCATCCCTGTTACCTCCTATAAATATAACCAGCAATGGTAAGCTTGATTGGCCGGGAGTATGTCATTCTGTACCATATAATCTAACACCGGGGCCCAAGTCCTAACAAATGTAGTGTAAGTAGGAGTATCACTGTTATTCGCTCTCATCAGAGAGTCCGAGATTTTAGCCATTACGAACTGGTCCCAAACTTTCTCTTGCCACGCCGATATTGTAGGAGAAGAAGAAGATTTCCAGGCCGCTGCAATTGTTAAACGTGCTGTTGCTAGCAACGCTGATACAAGCTCTCTACTGCCCTCTATCATCCTGTCGTTTCACAGATTTAGCAGTACCACTTCCGGAGCACACGGTAGCGACAGTCTGGTGATCTGATTTATCTGAGTTACCGCCTCTCTCCAAAAGCCTTGTATAATAGGACACTCCCACCAGCAGTGAAGGTATGTCCCTATACATCCACAATTTTTCCAGCAAAGGGGACTAATTGATGAATTTATTTTGTGTAATTTTTCTGGTGTATAATACCAGCGAGAAATTAATTCAAAAGACTGTAGATGAAGAGTGAAATTTCTCAAGAGATTGACTGGTGAATTCCAATTTTTTCCCCAAAGACTATCCGTCAAGTCCATATGTAGATCTTCCTGCCAATGAAGTTGATGTTTCAGTGGAGATTTATCTTCTGCTAATAGTAGAGCCTTATATAATTTGGCCAACAAGCCTTTAGATGCTTCATCATACATCAACAAGATGTTCTCGAAATTAGAGTAAGGTTTATCAAAGATACCTTTAAAAGCTAAAAATGTCATCAAGTTCTTGAGATGTAAATAGCTATGCCAGGTAAATTGCATGCCTACTTGCTGCTCAAAGAAAGCCTTGTCCTGGATTTTTCTGTGAGATATAAGATCAATTGGACACAGAAATCCTGCTTGCTTCCAGTCCCGATAAGCTTCCGGTACCTGAGCTGGAGGAAACCATGGTTGATTAGTTATGGTGGTGAGCAGTGAAATTCCTGAAATCAGTTTTTTCCTTTTACAATCCCAGATCTTGAATATAGCCTGTAGACACGGATTCATTCTCTTGTAAGGTTTTGGGATGACGTGAAGATATCATCCAGCTAGCTTCTTGCAATGAATAAGGTATTACATACGTTTGTTCCATTTGACACCAGACGGGTAAAGCGTCTTGTTGTTGTATTTGCACCACTGCCGTTAGGATCGAAGTGTGATAGTATGTACGTAGAAGAGGAAAATCAAGACCACCAAGGGAAACCGGTTTAGTTAGAATACTCAGATTAATCCTTGATTTTCCCCCCCTCCCATAAAAAGGAGAAGAGAGTCGTTTGCCAAAGACGAAGATTCTTGTCTGGGATATGAATCGGGATTTCAAAAGAGGAACAAAAATCTAGGAAGCATAAAGCTCTTGATCAAATGAAGCATAAAGTTCTTGATCAAATCAGGCAATGAGAAATTAAGGGCTCCCCAATCTTTTAATTGTATTTTTATTGTTTCATATCGTTTGCCATAGTTACACTGAAGAAGGTCCTTAAGATCTTTAGGAATTTGAACTCCTAAATGCCTCCATGAATCAGTAATCCATCTGAACGAAGTGATTTCCATAATTTGAGTTTGCAGATTAGAGGAAATCCAAATGGGGTATAATTCAGATTTAGACGAACTGACTTGAAGACCAGAAATTTTCCCAAGGTCAGTTAGAATACGTTTTATATGTGGTAACGAATGTATAGGGTTAGAAATATATAATGTCAGATCATCAGTGTAAAGATTGACTTTATGCTCCGTGCCTCCTAAAGATATTCCCAAGAAGTCCTTGCACTGTCGCAAATCTTCTGCCAGTGGTTCTATCACAAGCGCGAACAGCAGAGGCGAGAGGGGCAGCCTTGCCATGTGCCTCTCGTCAGATGAAAGGGATAAGAAGAACAACCATTCACACGGACACTTGAAGTAGGATTTGCATAGAGGGCCATCATAGCATTTAGGAAATTATTGCGAAATCCCATTTTTCTGAACAACGAAATCATGAAGGGCACTTCCACAGAATCAAAAACTTTAGTAAAATCTAAAGCTAAAATAACAGAATCAATCTTTGAGTGGCGACCATGTATGATGACATTGAGAGTTCTCCTCACATTGTCTGATAGTTGACATTGTGGAATAAAACCAGTTTGATCTTCTTTAATATAGGTTGCAATAAAGGATTTGAGCCTTTTAGCTAGAATAGATGTAAATATTTTTGCGTCATGATTGAGTAACGCAATAGGCCGGTATGGTGCGGGGTCTGTAGGATCTTTATTACCTTTTGGCAACACTACAATATTGGAGTCTGTCCAAGATGTTGGAATTTTACCTTTTTGCAAAACATTATTGCAGGTGATGAGTAAATGTTCTGCAAGTGTATACTGAAACACCTTGTATAATTCTGAAGGTATACCATCTGGTCCAGTTGATTTATTCATTTTCAAAGATTTGATGGTGTCCAACAGTTCTTGTAAAGAAATCGGTTTTTCCATAAGAGAAGCATGCACTTCCGATAATTGTTGAGAAAAAGAAGTGGTATTTAAGAACAGATTGATGTCAGATAGTTTAGGATTATCAGAGCTGTAAAGTTTGTTTAAAAAGTCAGCAAAGGAATCAGCAATGTCTTTAGATGAGAAGCAAGAGGAGTCCTTGGGCCTTTTTAAAGAGCCAATGAAAGAAGCTTGTCTTTTAGTATTAACTCTCCATTTAAGCATACAAATGTTTTTGGAAGATTTGACCCAAAGCCATTGTTTTAGAAAAAGAAGATTCTTCTGAATTTGATTGACGTCTAACACTTCAAGAGCTTTGTGTTCTGCCAAAAGTTTTTTAAATTCCCCCCCCCTCCTGTTCTTTTGTGTTCTGTTTCCAAGTCTCCTATCCGGGCCAGCAGTTCTGTCCTAATACAGTTTTTTTCTTTTCGCAAATGTGAGGTGATTGTGATTATGGACCATATCGAATCCCAAATGACTGTAGAAGAAATTTCAGGTGAAAAATTTTCTTTAAAGAAATTGCGAATGTCGTTCTCTAATGAATTTCTTACTGTTTCTATCCGTTGTCCAGCACCTGTCTGTGTTTGCACTTGTATCAGTGTTAACCATGCATTTTAGCCACGAATGGTCCATTAAATACCTAGGTTTAATAGTATATCCATTGTCCAGCACCTGTCTTTGTTTGCCCTTGTATCAGTGTTAACCATCCATTTTAGCCACGCATGGTCCGTTAAATACCTAGGTTTAATAGTGGCAGAAGAAACACATGGGAGAAGTGACTGAGAAACCAAAATATAACCAATTCTCATGAAAACATTATGTCTGGCCGAGAAATATGTATAATCTCTTTCCACTGGGTGTAGCATTCTCCAAATGTCACAGAGCTAGTATCTGACAAGAAGTTTAGAAAGTTTTGTAGATACCAGATGTTTACGAGGTCTACGAGAGGTAGGCCATGACCTATCCAGATTGCCATTAGAGATGAAGTTTAGATTGGCTCCAATAATAAGATCTCCAGCCAAGACCTTCTTGAGTGAGACAAAGGTACTATCTAAAAATTTAATTTGTTCTTGGTTTGGGGCATATATACTAGCAAGAGTCACCTGTTTCCAGCCAAGAAGCCCTTTAACAAA